GGGGCCGGGGGGGAGCAGCCCGGGGACATGAAGCGTCAGTGAGGGGGTCACTCCGTGTTTCCAGACTTGCTCCCTCGGCCGAGGGTGGCAGCCGGGGGGGCTGCAGCAGCCGGAGCAGTCCCAGATGGTTCCCAGCCCAGCCCTCCCGCATTCCTGGTGGTTTCCTGTCTTTGGGAACAGTATGTCCCACCCCAGCACTGCTGCAGAGTCACGCCTTGTTCGGGAAGCGGAGAAGGGGTTTTTCTCCCCAGGATTACATCAGCCAGCCGAAAGTGTTAGTGATGTGGGAGGGTTTCGGGTCGCTTTCCCAGACAAGCGCCGCTGTGCCTGGAAAAAGGGGCTGCAGCAGAGTGAGGGAAGCTGTGCCTGTCCCGGGGGAGCAGCACGTGTGTGGGGACACCTTGTTCCCTTCAGCACCTTCCCTGCGGGGCCCTTCGCAGTCACCATAGCCCTGAGGGGGTTGGGACCCCCAGGCTCACCTGCAGCCTCGGGCCATGACGCACTGCCCCCCTGCCCTGCCCCTACGCTGTCCGGGCAGCTGCCATCACCGGGAGGGAGCCCGAGCCCTCTGCTGGGGGTGGCACCGAGCCCAGCACCTGGTTGTGTGAAGCGGTGCTCGCTGGCCTGACAAGGGCTGACAAACTGGCTCTGCCGCGGGGCACAGTCCTTGTGCAGCGTTTAGACAGACAATAGGACAGATAACAGGGTATCATTGTCATGGTAAAACGCCGCTGCTCGATTTTAGCCCTACCTACCCTCTGTATGTGCTTGAGAGACCGATCAAAGACAACAGACAAGTGTGATAAGCCTTGAACTTGATCTTCGCTGTGTAAATTCTCTGTCCTGTCACTGTGCGGTACTGGTGTCTTGCTGGCACCGACCCTGCACGACTCTTGTCTCTGTGTGTGGACTGGACTTTACACACCGGGTCAAGAACCTGGTGTGGGGACAAGAGTTCTTCCCGGGGAGGGTTTCTCCGGTGAATCCGGGTGAATTCCCCGCGGCTGCGGACACCACGGTCCCCGCCCCACCGGCCCCTCGGAGCTCCCGCCGCCCTCGAGGGCTCCGACAGCCCCTGCCGGGGGGGGGGGCCCGCGGCGGGGGAGCAGCGGCGGTG